TTAAGATATAAATATTAGATGCTGTATTTTTATACATCTCAGTTTGTAGAGACAGAATCTGACTCTGTAGCCCAGGCTGGACTAGAATTCATTAGGCAGCCCAGGCTATCCTGAAACTCACAGTAACCATTCTATCTTATCCTCCCAAGTATAGCTTCAAGATGAAAAATTTTAATATATTTAACTTACTTGATAAGTTAAAAAAATAACTTAGTAGTAGATACTGGAAAAATGCATCTGTTCTGGGTCATGTTTATCAGCCAGAGCAATGCAGCTTTGCTGGGTGAAGTTCTCTGAGGCAATTCAGTCTTTGAAGGTGTGTGCACTTGTATACCATCTGTTTCTCTATTGAGCCAAATGTCCCGTAAAGCCCTAAAAAGTCCCAGCATAAAGTATGATAAAAAATAAAAGCGATGTCTCTCATTTTTATGTGCAGTATGCAAGACAGTATGTTGCAGGGCACAACGCTTCAACACAAGACTCCAAAATAACACTTATACATAGATAGAGTTAAGCCCAAGTTAATGTGTTTACATTAGTTTTTCACTATGCATAAATGTTTTATAATCTGCTAAAAAAAAAGAAAGAACATCTGTAGAATGTTAAAAAGACAAAAACCAACAAACAAATAGTATAGAGAGCTGAGATTTCTTGAACTCATCAAATTCTAGGCACTAAAAGTTCTCTATAAACTTTATAGATTCTCAGATAGCTATGAGTTAGCAAATGATGTTATTTTTGTTTTTCATCTGAAGAAATGAAAACATCATGATGGTCAATAAATTGCCCTTTATAACTGAGGAAGTTGGAAGCAGAATTTGAACTCAGGTAGTCTGACATCAGAGCCCTTGCACTAAACCAGCATGCTCACTTTTTCATTGAAGAATTACATGTGTAAAGCAACAACAAATTTACACCAGCAACAGTCAGCAAACTTTCTTTGAAAAAAAACCAAAACACTGAGAATAAATGTTTAAAAATTCGCAAGCTGCTTACGCTCTGCTGCATATGTATTTTTAGTTCCACTTTAAAAATGTAAAAGAATAGTCTCCTCATACAGGGCATAAATAAGCCAAATAAACAAGAGAAAGAGCTGTAGTTGAAACCTTATTTATTTATTTTTTTTTTGGGGGGGGAGGAGAGTTTATTTCACTCATAGTGAAACCTGATTTAAAAAATGTCAAGAATAGGAGCATATCCAAGAGTTGGACTCAGTATTCAGTATATGAACTAACAGAGAAACCCAGGATAGCACAGATCAGAGAAGCTACTTCAGAACAGAGGCATACCCAAACTTGTGGGACACTATGAAAGCAGTGCTAAGAGGAAAGTTCATAGCACTAAATGCCCACATAAAGAAGTTGGAGAAATCTCACACTAGTGACTTAACAGCACACCTGAAAGCTCTAAAACAAGAAGAAGCAAAGTCATCCAGGAAGAATAGATGCCAGGAAATAATCAAATTGAGGGCTAAAATCAATAAAATAGAAACAAAGGGAACAATACAAAGAATCAATGAAACGAAGAGTTGGTTCTTTGAGAAAATCAACAAGATAGACAAGCCCTTATTCAAATTAACCAAAAAAGCAGAGAGAGAGCATCCATATTAACAAAATCAGAAATGAAAAGGGAGACATAACAACAGACAATGAGGAAATCCAGAGAACCATCAGGTCATACTTCAAAAAACATCATGGTAGGAAAATGCACAGAGAAGGCAGTAGGACAGAGCATGTGGAAACAGTTACGTACTGTTAAGGGGCAATGAAACAATTGGATGGCCACATTCAAAATGAGAAGCATCAATGCGTGACCTGCAAAGAATCCAAAACAAGTCACAGACCTCAAGGTAAAAACTTTCTAGAACAAAAAGCATAAGAGAAAGTTTTATAGTGTCGAATTAGGCAGTGAGTTCTTAGAAATAATGGCTGAAATATGAAAATGGACTTTACCAAAATTAAAAATGTCTGTCTGTTTTGTGAATATTCTGTTAAAAAAAGACAAGCTGTAACAAAAACAACAAGCAAACAAATAAATAAACTGTGGTCGTTTGAACATAAGTGGCCCTCTTAAACTCATAGGGAGTGGGGCTTGTAGGAGGTGTGCCTTTGTTGGAGTAACAGAGGCCTTGTTGGAGGAAGTATGTCACTGTGGAGACAGGCTTTGAGGTCTCATACATGCTCAAGTCATGCCCAGTGTCTCAGACCTTTTCCTGTTGCCTGCAAGTCAAGATGTAGGACCCTCAGCTCCATCTCCAGCACCATGTCTGCCTGCATGCTGCTGTGTCCTACCATGATGATAATGGACTAAACCTCTGAAACTGTAAGCCACCTAATTAAATGTTTTCTTTTATAAGAGTTCATGATGCCTCCTCACAGCAAGAGAAACCCCAATTAAGAAACAAACAAAAACTTTTGCTCCATATCAGGCTGTTTTTATTCTCAAATATGTAAATCCCTCAGATTTAAAACCCAAGAAAACAAAATTCTCATAAGATATACCCAGTTATTTCATCATAGAAAATGTACAGATAGTAAATAATAACATGAAAATGAATCCAAGATCATTTGCCATTTAAGAACTTCAAATTAAAACTGCAATTATACACAGCTATATATCTATAAGAATACCTAAAGGGGATAGAGGGATGGCTCAGGAGTTAAGAGTGCTGACTGTCCTTCCAGAGGATCTGGGTTCAGTTCCCAGGACCTACAGGATGGCTCACAATCATCTGTAACTTCAGTTCCAGAAGAATCAGTGCCCTCTTCTGACCTCTTCTGGTGGCAGGCATGCATGTGGTACATAAACATACATGCAAGGAACCAACTAATACATATAAAAGAAATAAATCTAAAAATTAAGACTTTCAAAAAGATTGGTTAAAGTGATGATATTGACCATACTGAATTATGGTGCAGATGAAAAGGAACTGGTTCGTTTCTACACTCCTGATGGGAATGAAAAGTGCCTTAATTATGGAAAAAATATTTAGCAGTTTCTCAGTCCATGTACTGCATGAACTGAACATCACACTTGTAGGTGTTTATCTGAGAAATCAGATCCTGAGTTTGACAAAGACTTGCTCATGGACATTCGTAGCAGCTTTATTTATAGGTGAACCCAAACTGAAACAACCCAAATGGCGTTAATAAGTACATAGATAAACAATTAGCAGTATGTACCCGTAGTGTAATGCTCAATATTTAAAAAGTAAGAAGAACTGATAAAAGACACTGAGATGGAGACATTTATATATATATGTGTATATATATATATATATATATATATATATATATATATACACATATATATATAATAGCACCAAGTGAAAGAAACTTGGCCAAAAACCACATATTATGCAATTCCATTCACATAAACTGTATGAGTCACATGTGACAGTGTACTCCTTTAATCTTAGTACCTGGGAGTCAGAGGCAGAAGAAACTGTGAGTCAGAGGTCAGCCTGGTCTGACCAAATCTACATGGGGAGACCCTGTCTTTAAAAAAAACAAAACAAAACTATAAACTCTATGAAATGCAAGATGAAAGTAGATTAGTGTTTGTTCTAGGGAGGAGGCATTGGGAAGGGGCAGAAGTGGCAGATGTGTTCATCACCTCAGTTATGGTGATATGATCACCACAGTTTACAATACTTACAAGTTCAGTTTATTGTAAGTTCATTACATAGCAAAACTGCCAGTGAAAAAAGTAATCCTTGTCTCATCTTCCCAACGATGCATCTGTCATATATAAACACACAGACACATAGCACACACACACACACACACACACACACACACACACACACACACACACACACACAGAATTGCTGGTCTAGAACAATGGAAAGCTTCCTTCAAAGTGGAAGCATCTGTAAAGTGTGTGGAGAATAGAGGCTTTGAAAATAGAAGTTTCTAAGTCTGTCTGTTCCAATAGAACACTAGTTTTATACCTAGCTCATATTGCTCTAAGAACTTGTCCTGCAACTTAGTTTCTTCCATTTTGGTCGTGTATGTTTCTGAATCATAGCATAGCATGACAGGATCAAGGAGAGGTTGTCTACAAAGGATGTGTAATATAAGGGGGAAAATATCTGGTTTTGCTTTGGGGCCACATATTATGTGGTTCTAACAAATACTGTTTTAAAGGATTAAAGTCACAGTACTGTTCTTTGGTGGAGAAAAAGTTGAAGAAATAACTTATGCAAGAACTGATCACATGAAGAGGTAGTTCATGGTTAAGAGGACTGGCTGTTCTTCCAAAGGCCCTAAGTTCAATTCCTAGGACCTACATAGCAGCTAACAACCATCTGTAAATTCCAGTTCCAGGGGGTCTTATGCTCTCTTCTGTCCTCCAGTGGCACCAGGCACTCATGTGGTGCATAAACACACATGTCGGCATTCCCCCCATAAAGATAAAATAAAAATAAAATTAAAAAATGTAAATATGGAAATGGTGCAGTATGGAGATGGACCACAGTTACAAAGGTCAAGCTGTGGCTCCTAGCAGGAACTTGTGTTGCATTGTGACTTTTCCTCTGTTCTTTTCTTTGCATGCTGCTTCTTAGACACAGTTCCTTTCTGAGCCCTCTGCCTGCACTTAAGCAGGTTCTCTACAGTCTGTCTTCTGTGCAGCTCCATAATGTCTTATGTATGTTGAGGTATAGGAGACTGATTAGAAAGCATATTCCAGGTCAGGCAGGAGTCATCATTTAAACAGGAAAGGGAGGAAGGATTGCAAGTTGGTTGGGTGATTTGGGAAGGGCAAGGATAATATATGGATAAACAATCGAACTCACAACTTTAGATACAAAGATGTCAAACAACTGGATCCCCTGTCTGTGCGTCTGTCTGGTCCTTGCCTCTGCTCAGGTGAACTGAAGTTAGTAGTTAGCTGACAGCTGTCAGGAAAATCATGTTTTACATTCAAGTACGTAATAATAGCTTAAATTTCACAGCAACAGTCCAAAGTCTTCTCCTGTTCTTCCAGAATCTTCAAATTCACTGCATTAACAATAGCTTTGCCCGCTTCTGACATATGCTGAATGCAGTTAAAATGCAGTTGTCAGCAAAAACAGCACCCTCTTGAATGTACACACAGGTGCCTGATGGATGCGTCTGGGGAGGAATACCCCTGATCTTAAATCTGCAGGTAGAGAGAAAAGAAAAAAAATGACATGTTGCATCTTTGTGTTAGAAATCAATCCTGTTTCAAAGCTTGAAATCAGCAGTAATGTGAAGGAAATGTCAGCGAACGTCTGAAGGGGCAAATAGCAAACCCTCTTATGACTTTCATGGATTCCCCACTCTTCATTCTAACAAGAAGAGGACATATGTGGAATGTGACAGTGACTCCAAATCAGGTCCAGCCAGGAACAGAACACTCACAATGGGCACCCAGAAGAGTAACGAACTTACAAGTGAGGACGCAAAGGAGAGCCATTCTCCCACAACCACGGGTCATTTTGTTTCTTCCGATGCAATCCCATCCAGAATGGCGAGGTGGAATGGGAAGTTGTTTGTGAGATGAAATTCTGTGGAAAGACATCACTCTGACTTTAGATTCATCAAACTAAGTATCAAAATGATCTTCAACATCCCTTGGTGATTTAATGACAATTTACAGAAGCCTACGGAGACACAGACACACCCTGTATGCCCAAGGCCAAGTATGCAATCAGATTGAAAAAGAGCTATTTTCCCTGTCAAACAAGTGTTCCTCCCTGTGGTGATTTGAATGAAAATGACCCCCATGGAGAGTGGAGGTGTGGCTCTGTTGGAGGAAGTGTGTCACAGGGGGTGGGTGGGCTTTGAGGTTTCAGAAACTCAAGCCAGGCCTAGCGTCACTCTCTTTCTGCTGCCTGTGGATCCATATGTAGAACTCTCAGTCCTCTCCAGCATCATAGATGTCTATGACCATGCTTCCTGCATGCTGATAATGAACTAACCCTCTGAAACGTAAGCCAGCGCCAACTAAATACTTGTCTTTATAAGAGTTGCCATGGTCATGGCATCTATTAACAGCAATAAAACTCTAAGACACTCCTCCAGAGACCTAAGTCTGATTCTTTTTTTTTTTTTTTTTTACTAACCCATAATCTATTCCATCATCACCCCAAATGACTCACCAGATCGTCTATGCTATTAATGTGTAGCAACTGAGCATCCAAAGACAGGCAGAATTCTTGACTCTTTGCCCAATAAGACTGCTCAGAAGAGAACAGATAACAGTTTTCTTTATGCCATAACCAGTCTTGTGGACACGGACCTAGGAAGTGTTAATAGAACAGATGAGTTCTGAGTAAAAGCATTTCTTCAGTTCTTCCTTAGAATGATACCCAGATTCTGCAAATAGGAGAATGGCCAGAATCTTTATTTCCTTTTTAATAAATCATTATCATTTTTTGCCTTTTATTTTTATTTTATGTGTATGGGTGTTTTGCTTGCTGGTATATATGTGCACCAAATGGGTGTGATGCTCTCAGAGGCCAGAAGAGTGCATCAGATCCACTGGAACTGGAGTTGCAAACAGTGATGAGCTGCTATGTGGGTGCAGAGAACCCAACCTAGGTCCTCTGGAAGAGAAGCCAATGTTCTTAACCACTGAGCCATCTTTCTAACCCTTATTTCCCTTTATACATTTTTTTCTTTTGTTGAAAGTATATTTTTTCATACAATATATTTTGATTATGGTTTCCCCTCCTATAACTTCTCCCAGTTCTTCTCCTTGTCTTTTATGTTTATAAAGGAAGAAGAGAGTGTTTTTAAAAGAAGAAGGGCTAAAGCATTCTAATTTTAGTAAACTGAGTTGACTTTCCACTTAGCATTTCATTTCCCTTCTTAGGAGACATAAGTTGGTATGCAAGTTTAGAAATTGAATTTTAAAAGTTTTGTTTGAAATTACGAAAATGAGAGTTAAAGAATGGATGTTTATTGGCTATTCTGTTATTACAAAGCTAGACATGCATTTAAAAACTTCATTTCTCTGAATAACAGAATTAGTTGTGGCTACTCTGTCTCCTTTTATCCCTGTGTTGTCCAGTACAGTTGCCAATGTGGTTTCTGAAATGAGGTGAGTTTGCAGTCACCTGTGTTTGCACTTAAAGCATAGATGTGATTTAGAGAGCTTCATCAGAATCATGCAGCCTAGCCCATTGAGAACCTTATAGGTTCATGTCAAATTAATATTTCAGAGGTTTTGGTTAAGTAAAGTATGCCACTACAATTAATTCCATCTGCTTCTTTTTCTGTCTTTAAACATGCTCATGGTGGAAAATTTACTCTTGTATAGTAGCTCACATTCTTTTGGACAAGTTTGATTTAGGTAGAATGTTGCATTGATATAAAATGAGTATTCCCAATTTCAGTGAGATTTCAGTAAATAAGATGTTCTCAGCAAAAAATTTGCTGGGGCATCCAGCAAATTCTCCTCTGGGAGAAAGAAATAGGCAAAGTTATCAATATCTACATGTTGACAACTCCTAGATCATCAGCATGGTCACCAAGCGCATTGTGATGGTGACACACAAGGAGCTGCCTTTTGCTCTAACGTGTGACCAAAATAGTGAAAAAGTCCTTAAGAAGAGTTAGATCATAATTTCAATTTTCATTGTGGCCCAAACCCACCTGATAATTTTATACAAGCAAGCTTTACCAGAAAGGCAAATGCAGACCTAGTATAGTGATTCCTGTCTGCAACCCCAGCAAGCAGGAGACTAAGGCAAGAGGAATTCCTTGAGTTCAAGGCCAATTTTGTCTAAATAATGAGTCCCAGGCCAACCTGGGCTACAGAGTGAGAATCTATCTAAAACAAAAGAAACAACACAGAACTACAGAACAACAAAAATATATACATAGAGGATAGAGTGTGGTGTTATTGTGTTCCCCCAAATACCGTGCACCCTAATAAACTTATCTGGGGTCAGAGAACAGAACAGCCACTAGATATAGAGGCCAGAAAATGGTGGCGCACACGCCTTTAATCCTATCACTTGGGAGGCAGAGATCCATCCGGATCTCTGTGAGTTTAAAGCCACACTGGAAATAGCCAGGCATGGTGTCTCACGCCTTTAATCCCAAGAAGTGAGACTTTAATCCCAGGAAGTGAGGGCAGAAAGCAGAAAGGTATATAAGGTGTGAAAACCAGGAACTAGGCTGGTTAAGCTTTTGGACTTTTGAGCAGCAGTTCAGCTGAGATCCATTCGGATGAGGACACAGAGGCTTCCAGTCTAAGGAAACAGGATCAGCTGATGAATTGGCAAGGTGAGGTAGCTGTGGCTTGTTCTGCTTCTCTGATCTTCCAGTTTTAGCCCCAATACCTGGCTCCAGGTTTGTTTTTATTAATAAGACCCTTTAAGATTCATGCTACATTAAAGTAGGAAGTTTCCAGAAAAATGAAAGCAGAAAGTAAAGTAGAAAGGGCATGCATGAGTTTAAAACAGGATGTGCAACTTCCTTCATAATTTGTTTTTCCCCATCACAGTATATAAATGTAAACAAATCAGGTTTTTGTGGAATAAAGAAATGGTCTTGACAACTTGTCTCTATTATAACAAAGTGAGAAAGGCATATCTCTCTATGTGATATTTAAATCAACTACATTTCTTTGTATGTGTGGGTGTGATGTATGTATAATATCATATAGCATATAGTATCTACTATTACATACAAAGTTTAATGAACACAGATATTATTTACCAAGTGTACAAACTGTTGGAAGTACTTTGAATATGTGAACTCATTTAATCCTTGTGCAACTCAGAGTTTGATCCACTAATGTCTTCATTTGACAGATCAAGAAATTATGAATTTGAACCTCATGTTCACTGTGTGTTTAATACCTGTGATGGTGTACCTCGATAAGCCTTGGTTGTCAATTTGTCTGCATCTGGAAGGAACTAAAAGCCAAGCAGCTGGGGATTCCTGTGAGGAATTTTCTTAATCAGATTATCTGAAGTGGGACTTCCCCTAAACATGGGTGAGTCCTTCCTGTGGCAACACAGAGACAGGAGGAAGAAGGAAATTTTGCTTTGTGCCTGTGTACATTTACTCTGCAGGCAACTTCATTGATGACAGGGCTACATTCATTCCCTGGTCTTATAACCAGCTTCTTCTAGCTTCAAAAATAGACTGAAGATCAGCAGCTGTTCATAGATACTCCAGGACTTCAGTGCCAAACAGTGAAGTCTTAGACATCCAGTCTCACAGACTAAACAGCTGCTAAATTTTCCACCCATCCAGTAAGAGATAACCATTGTTCCATTCCCCAGATACATTATGCAAACCAATCTAATAAATCCCTTTTTAATACATATTCATCCTGTTGGCTCTGTTGCTATTGAGAACCTAATACAGGCACAATAGCACATGCCTGTTCAAACTTCCCTGAGGATGAACTAATTGAGGAAGTATTCTGCTGTGAGCTCAGGGTTTGGGGACCTACATGGAACTTGCCATTTATATCAATCTATTTGCATAGCTAAAGACTAATAACAAGCACCAATTCTGATGCTAAATGCAAAGATCTATCTTTTTGAAGACCCTGCATCTCCTTAGCTTCCAAGGAAATCATCCTACTGATCTGCTAAGGACCACAGAACTGTAGTAAGACAGAAAGAATCTGCCTCAAATTTGAAAAAAAATTAGCATAATTTTTTTCACTTGGGATTTCAGTATTATGACATTTTCATGAGGCTCTCCCTAAGGCAACAAGAGTAAAGCAGACATTCACTTGAGATCTCTACTAGTATGGCCATATCTAACACTTCAAGGAATGGAACAAAGGACCTAATATATATGTCAGAAAAGGACATGTGAATTCTGTGTCTGATCTATTGTTCACATCTGGCATCTCTAAGAGAAGGTTCTTCATGGTCCTAACACAGATTAAATCCCACACAATTTACAGCTGATAAATGCAAAACTGTTTTACTGCTGTGTCTGTGAAATAAGCCATTGGCTGGGATTTTGGCTGTTTATATATGTAAACACTCCCATTCTTGATAATTAAGTTTCCTTCCCTTAAACCTGGTTTGAAGTGTTGCATCCCTTACTTTATTGAAAGGTCCTTCCCTAGAAAGATTAAATACATATTTGACACTATTCAAAGGTCAGTTTGTCTAAAAATTTCTGATTATTTTTGCAAAGGGGTAATTTAACCCCTTTTATACTGAAACAATTTATTTATTTGTTTGTTTAATTTCTCCATGTAGCTCTGGCTGGAACTTGTTGTGTAGACAAGGCTGGTCTTGAACTCAGAGATCTGCTTGCCTCTGTCTCCCCAGTGTTAGGATTAAAGGCATGCCCCACCATGTTGGGCCTGAAAAGACTTATAAACTGAGTAACTAAAAGACGTATAAACTGAGTAACTTTACATCAAACCACTCATTAACACTATTGTTAATCTCTATCCTGCTCTTAATATTTTTGTCTATACAATGAAGGGATGGCTATCTGTATATTATTATATAATCTTTATTTAACAAAACTGCACAATTGAACTGTTAGTCACACAAGCAAAAAGTTGGAAAGACATGCTTTTGAATGGCACTTAATTGCTAATCCGGAGAAAAGCACCCTCTTTCGAGCACTGCCCAAGAAAGGACATCTGATTCTGTCACACCTAAGTCTGTAGTTAGAAGCACATACCTCACTTGATTACACAATGCAGAAAAACTCAACAATGCAGAAAGCTTCTGTACTAGCACAGAAGTTGACAGCACAATCTGTTCTTTGTCTGCCCCTACATTCTGAATCCCTTTAGACAGATGAAATCATCTCAACTGTTATATAAACTCGTTTTCTAGACCTCTTATTTTTCTCAACTTTAAGTACCTACCTAAACCTTCCAAGTCAAATGGCTTCCACTCTTTGTGCTTAGACAGACGTAATGCCCATGTAAGAAACAGTGTCCCAGAATGAAGCTAACACAGGAGCTGAGGTAAAGAATGGCAGTGACAAGAAGATTCTCAAGGAAAGGGAAGCCAGTGACTAAGGTGCATTTGGATGGGAATAATAACTTGTCTGTGGCAGAGGCTATGATGGGCCAGGATGGCACTTCCACACAAACCTCAAAGCTAGAACTGAAAAGAAAAAAAGGAACAAAATAGTAAGCCCATGACAAGGAGAGCTCCACCAGTTAGATATTTACAAAGCTTAACACAGACTAGAGTAAAAATGGCACTGACAGAGAGCTTGTGCAGAACATTCTGAAGGCATGGCATGTATGTGAATGTGGTGGTTTTTGTAAAACCTAATTGAGACTGAACAGAACACCCATCACCACCCCTCTTCACTGACTTTCCCCTGTACCTGTAAAGTTTTCAGCTCTCTGCAGGGTGTTTTGGAGGTCCAGGTTCTGTTGCAGAAGTTCCTCCTGCTCTTTGGATTTCTCCTTCAGCTCCCAGGTGAGGGTGTCTATCATTTCCTTGAGTTTCTTCTGTGAAGTGTTTGCTGCCTGCTGCTGGGCTAAGATCTGACCCTCCAGGATATGTTCCTGGTGAGTAAGGTTTGCTTGGCATTGCTTGAGGAGGTTGGATACCTGGAGTACTAACCATAGAGAATTAAAACTCAGCCTCCCTTCTCTAGTATAATTGCTGCCAATGGATGCCCAGGGCATTTATAGACTCAAATAATCTATCTTGACAACAGATGAGTGTTGATAAAAATCTTTTACGAATTTGAACAATAATGGAGGAACAAATGTCCTTGAAAGACTGCTTCAGCACAGGGCTCAGAGGAAAATCCACAGACAGCATGTACTAGACTTTTTTAATCTGAGTGGATTAGGGAAAAAGACACTCACACATTCTCTTGATGGTTTCTTTCAGACATTTTTTTATTCTTCTTTTGCATTCTCTATTCTTTATTTTCCTGTTGATTTACTTCTCTCATTATTGATGTTTTCCTTCTAACTCTATCTTTATTCTTCATGTTTCCCTTTTAGTTCCTTCTAACTCTCTCATTCTTGTTATTTTCCTTCTAACTCATTTTAACTCTCTCAATCTTTTTTTTCTTCTAATTCTCATTCTTGATGGTTTCCTTGTAGCCCATTTTAACTCCATCTTTATTCTTTTTCTTATAGCTTATACACCTCTACAAAATCTTTCAGGTAATATGAAAATTACAATGTGGTTACATTCTGTTTTTCAAGTGAATGATTAAAATGAATATAAAACAAACAGTGAAAAAACATGTTTTCCAATTCCCTTACATGATTAAATATTTTATGTATTATAGGTGAAAAACAAATTATCCCAAGAATACACATACATTCATACCCAAGCAACTTGTTATAGATTAACTATGTGGGCAAGCAAGGTATTTTCTCAGTCAGGTCTTTTACTGGCAGGCTACGTTTTGCAGTTATAAAGAAAGGGCTATTTACTTTACTACTTATCCTGAAAGGTAATCTTATAAGGAATCTTAAAGGAATCACAAGCCTAAACTTTTATATATGAAAAAGAATCAGTCACCTCCACTTTAAATCTTTGGGATGCATACCCACTCATCAATAGTTTCTTATATCAGGAGACCAAGGGCAACAATGGACACAAGAAATTAATCATCACCTTTGATCACCAACCAAATCCAGCAAGGAAAGTGTGTTGTGAGCTAGCAACAATTAGGCTGCTGTGTATTTTTTTCCCTAAACTAATGAATCTATGACTCAGCTATGTGTCCTCGTGAATTTTAGATTGTTTACTGGGGTTTTTCATCTCAAAGCTATTATCAAAACATCTGATCTAACCTGAAACTATTTTAAGGCTTTTTTTCAGCTAATGATGCACACCGAAACTTGTCACTGCATTGTTCACTATTAAGAGAATTAGAGCCAGACTGTCTTCTGGGGACTCTATTGTTTTCCTTAATCACTAACCTGAACTATAATCTGTGCAGCTCCTAAGGTGAAACACATAGGCCCTAGCTATGTGACATTTCCTTGTATTTATTTTTCTTAATCAAGGCTCTGTATAAACTAACATTATTGTTATCAAATAGACAGTACAGCTTAGGAAGAAGTCATCTTCATAATAATCCACAGGTAAAAATGCCCAGGACAATGGGATGTTGCCATGAGATAGGCACATGGCATTACAAGCAGTGGGAATCTCCCCACACTCGTTCACACCATGCCAGATACCAGAGAAAGATGACAGGGGTAAACATGCAAAGGCACAGCAGAAGCAAAAGGCACTCTGGGGTCTGTGGTCTCAGGGCCTTGCCTATCCGAGATTCACCCATCAAAAATTTCCCTCCTGGTGGGCTGACATCCCTAAGTCAATTGTCACCTACTGTTCCTCTGACATGGCCACTGGCATGACACTAGTCAAAGGTCAGTTTGTCTAAAAATTTCTGATTATTTTGGCAAAGCTAAATTACCCCTTTTATACTGAAACAATTTGTTTGTTTGTTTGTTTGTTTGATCTCTCCATGTAGCTCTGGCTGGAACTTGTTGTGTAGACAAGGCTGGTCTTGAACTCAGAGATCTGCTTGCCTGTCTCCCCAGTGTTAGGACTAAAGGCATGCCCCACCATGCTTGTCCTGAAAAGACTTATAAACTGAATAACTTTACATCAAACCACTCATTAACATTATTGTTAATCTCTATCCTGCTCTCAACATTTTTGTCTAGACAATGAAGGGGCGGCTATCTATATATTTTTATATAATCTTTATTTAACAAAACTGCACAATTGAACTATTAGTCACACAAGCAAAAAGTTGGAAAGACATGCTTTTGAATGGCACTTAATTGCTAATCCTGAGAAAAGCACCCTCTTTCGAGCACTGCCCAAGAAAGGACATCTGATTCTGTCACACCTAAGTCTGTAGTTAGAAGCACATACCTCACTTGATTACACAATGCAGAAAAACTCAACAATGCAGAAAGCTTCTGTACTAGCACAGAAGTTGACAGCACAATCTGTTCTTTGTCTGCCCCTACATTCTGAATCCCTTTAGACAGATGAAATCATCTCAACTGTTACATAAACTCGTTTTCTAGACCTCTTATTTTTCTCAACTTTAAGTACCTACCTAAACCTTCCAAGTCAAATGGCTTCCACTCTTTGTGCTTAGACAGACGTAATGCCCATGTAAGAAACAGTGTCCCAGGATGAAGCTAACACAGGAGCTGAGGTAAAGAATGGCAGTGACAAGAAGATTCTCAAGGAAAGGGAAGCCAGTGACTAAGGTGCATTTGGATGGAAATAAAACATATCTGTGGCAGAGGCCATGATGAGCCAGGATGGCACTTCCACACAAACCTCAAAGCTAGAACTGAAAAGAAAAAAAGGAACAAAATATTAAGCCCATGAGAAGGATAGCTCCATCAAATTAGATATTTACAAAGTTTAACACAGGCTAGAGTAAAAAATGGCACTGACAGAGAGCTTGTGCAGAACATTCTGAAGGCATGGCATGTATGTGATGTGGTTTTGTAAAACCTAATTGAGACTGAACAGAACACCCATCACCGCCCCCCTTCCCCTGTACCTGTAAAGTTTTCAGCTCTCTGCAGGGTGTTTTGGAGGTCCAGGTTCTGTTGCAGAAGTCCCTCCTGCTCTTTGGATTTCTCCTTCAGCTCCCAGGTGAGGGTGTCTATCATTTCCTTGAGTTTCTTCTGTGAAGTGTTTGCTGCCTGCTGCTGGGCTAAGATCTGACCCTCCAGGATATGTTCCTGATGAGTAAGGTTTGCTTGGCATTGCTTGAGGAGGTTGGATACCTGGAGTACTAAACCATAGAGAATTAAGGTTCAGCCTCTCCTCTCCAGTACAAATGCTGCCACTGGATGCCCAGGATATTAAAACACAGACTCAATCAATCTTGACAACAGATGAGTGTTGACAAAAATCTTTTACGAATTTGAACAATAATGGAGGAATAAATGTCCTTGAAGGCTGCTAGTAAATGGTGCAAATTTATTCAAAATTTTTGGGTTTAGAAGTTATTCAATTGTATTTTTGCAATTGCAATTCTGTTGTAATTTTTATTAGTAATCATGCAGATGTTTCCGAATAAAAAATTCCATAGCTTTATTTTTGTTGAGATTTATACACAAATTAAAAGTAATTTCAGGGGGTAGTAATACAGCCCTGTGGCAAAGGGGAGACTTGGTCAGCATGTAGGAGCCCCTGGGGATGGGGATGGGCTCTGAGGTTCCACCTCAGTTGAGGAACTAGTGGCAATTAATGGCTGCTGCAATGGGAGAGCCAGTTTTCTTCATGGATGTGGCTCCCGTGAGGCCACCTACGTTCCAGCAGATGGCCCTATACCCATGCACATGCAGGCAGCATTAAGTGGTCTAAAAATTAAAAGCAGAGCACATGAAATTCAGAGGAAAAGGGGGATGGTGGGAGGAAAATGGGGATAGGTTTGATCAAAATTCATTATATACATGAGTATGAAGTTCTCAAACAGTAAGAAAGTAAAATAAAATTTTTTTAAAGTAATGACAAGGTAAGAAATAATATAATGGAATAAATCTATAGTAGTCACCTCTCCCCTAGACGCTGATTCATAGGAGGAATTGCCATTAGCAATTTCTTCTGCTTAATTCCTCTTTAGCTCCTCCCACTCCGTCTACACCACCAGACTTCCTAATTTTATTTAGGAACTCTGACATTTGCCTTCATTTTCAAGGCAACCGCCCATGAAATATTTGTAAATTTTTGTATGGTGTCATTGAGAGTAAATTTTATTTTAGCCAAAGAACAGTTTGGGAGGGTGGAGATGAAACAAATGTGTAATTGAGTAGAAATGAACGCTGTGCTAGGAACTCGGCTCAGCTCTAGTGTACCTTGCTGCTGACCCTTTGCTTCAAGGCCTAGTCTGAGCCTACTGGATGGTGATGGACACCCCAGAAAGGTTCTTCCGACTGCTGCCATCAAGTGGGATCTCCTGCCCCATCATTACGAAAGTCCTCAAGTGCCCACAGACAATTAAAAACAGGTTACATAGAGTTAGACATGTAGGAAGCAAGTGGTGTTTCTGAGGACTTCTATCTTAGACTGTGGCTGGCAGAATAACCCGGGCCTGAATCCTGCTTGTGAAGCCTGATGCCAGAAAAATATTATCTTTCCTTCTTGGCCACTCTGCTCCTTTTTCTCACATCTTCTTTTTCCCTCTCAGTATCTCCACTTTCCTAAGTGTTATAAACTCAAAGTACATTTTGCTGTCCCTGTTTTACTTATTTTAGGGGGACAATTATGATTCCTGGCATTTAATCAGATCCATCAAAACAAAACTAAATGGGACCTCTTTTCCTCTTGGGTTATATATTTATTATGTATTAGAAACTTCAAGTTATTATCAAATTATTCTAGGTTGTAAATAGGTCCCTCCATGAAATTATGAAGCAAAACAAAAACACTCTACTGTGAATAAGCTCCATTCCATGCCCATCTCTAGTGGGTAGATGAACATAATATATCCATTAATTGCCTGGCTTATTCTCAAAGTATTTAGCCTAAAAGGAATCAAATCCAGGCTGATCTGTAGTTGTTATAAGTTGTGTTCATAACCCTCATTGCCCACCTCCAGTTCCCTATATCAACACTTACATTGCATCCGTTGTATAATAATGGTCACTGATAACCCTAGGCAAAGGATGACCAGAGTCATCGCAGCAGGGCACCACCATGGGGAGGAGAGAAAATGCAAACCTGCAGGGAAGGAGAATCCGAAAATTGGAAAAGCCGAAGGCAGGTCATCAAGCTGGGTTCGGGGGCTTTGGATCCTGCCTGAGCTCTGTGCTGTGCACCCCTCAGCCCCCTCCCCACCCCCACTGGCTCTGCATGTGTGCAGATGGAACAATGGATGGTTATAAAACTGAAGTAAGTTACTCATGGACTCACAAGGGAAAAAAAATAACAGCTGGGATTCGGTAAGGTATCAGACACTAAAATATTTGATTCTGAAACTTTTACTTCCTCTATTCTATGCACAATGCCCTTCAAGAAACTCTCAATGCAGCCTAACTTCATCTATGGTGCAGAAAGTCTGATGTTTACATACACATGTACACAAGCATTCATAAGTAACATTATGCAAACAACTGTCAGATGTCAAATAAAATATTTTAATCAGTCACCTGAGATTTTCTCAAGAAATTCTATGCCTGATCTCAGACCATTCAATTTTTATTATACTAAAATTACTTCTTGTAACTGGAGTTGTTAACCAAAGGAAACTAGGAATGAAACCTTGATATGCACTTGGCTCATAGTAATAGCCTGACTTGCACTTACGTTGCATTTATGTTCATTGTGGTAACCCCCCTACTGTAAATAGAAAAATAAAGCCTAGCACTCATAGTATAGCAGGGGATCATTTGATGTTTCCTCCATGAAGTATAGAGAGTCAGCTGAAAACTTTTACTCCAGTTGGGATTGAAATAATTATGGTGGTGATATGAAGTAAACTCGGGCATCTAGGCCTATTATTCCCAGAGAAAACGTTGCCTTGTTTATGAAAACAAGTCATGCAGCTCTGACATGAGAATGTACAGTTATGTGACCACATATTAAATAACCACAAGCATTACAGACTCAAGAGGAAAATATCACACACAATGTATTTAGTTTCTTCCTCTTGTAAGATAAACAGAACACTGATGTTATTCTCCTCTCCATGTAAAGAAGAAACTGAAAGCTTCAGTCACTAGCTTGAGAGAACACATGTAATAAACTTAAAAAGGTAGGTCTTTGGGTTTTATTTTGTTCTTGCTTAAAACGATGCTCACTTTTAGTCCACACTGCCTTGGAACTCACTAAGTAGTCTAGGATGGTCTCAGACAGGTGAGCCCTCTTGCCTCAGGCTCCCTAGTGCTGGGATATCAGGCACGCAGTACCACATCTGGTTCCAAACACAGGCCTCTACTCCAATACTGATAAGCCACAATGCTTAGAGTATTACATTACCAAGCTTTCAGTGTGAGTGTGGTAAGGGTCCAAGTTAATCAGCTGCTGAATATATTCACAGAATTCTCACGTGTTAATAATCTCTGTTAGACTCTATAGATAATTTTTTTGAAGGTAGAAATTGTGACAGTTCGTTCTCTGACTAAATGATTTCTGTCTCTGCACTTGAGGTGAGCTGGCAGACAATAGAAGAGCTAGTATCTTTTACTGATGGTGACCTAATCCTGGCACCTGGCATCATATATCTGTGTGTAATAACACATTTCTCTTTACACTCCAGTATTCATCCCACATTTTATGCCCACAACTTGAATAAAACACCAATCCCATGAACCACCCATGTGAATAGAACACACATGTTCCTATTGTCTACAATATACCTTCATCCCATCTCAGTGGTAAGAATTCTCGGTGGTCTAGTTCTCACCTGACATTTAGTCAGAAACAACCTTTAGTCAATCAATAAAGGAACAAACAAGCAAAATATTTTTTTCACTGAATTCTGTGCCTAATTTATACAGTTCACAGTAGGTCACTAATTTAACCAGGAATTTTAAAAATTAATCATATTTATGTCAAAAGTCAGGCAAGCAATAGTTATCACACAAATAATGAATGAATGGTTGAACAAATTAATGGCTGGTATTAGTTCCTGAATCTACTATCAAACACCAGCATGTCTTCACATCAAGTTAGTTCAGCTGCTGCTGGGTCTACTACTAAACACCCACATTGTCTTCAGTCTGTGCTAGTTCAGCCACTCAGATATTAAATCACAGCATACTCACCCTTATTCTATCTATGGAAAGATTCCAGTCTTGTTTACAGACACAGTCTGTCTTTCTTCCTCTCCTTAAGGTTTTATTTGCCCCTCCCCCAACAGGGCTTCTCTGTGTAGCCCTGGCTGTCCTGGAACTCGATCGATCTGTAGACTAGGCGGGCCTGCTCCTGCCTCTCAAGTGCTGGGATTAAAAGTGTGTACCACCACCACCCAGTCCCTTTTCTCTTAATTTTATAAAATAATAGGCATTTTATCTGTAGTTGTCTACAGAATTGAGATTATCAATTAAACCTAAGTGGTTCACAGTTTACTATATTGGCCAATCATAAATTATAATTTTTCAAAGCAATGACAGACAACAAAAGCTAATGTATGCTCATCCATACTGAACACACTGAATTTGCTTTAGATAATTCACAAAGCACTTCATAGTTTTGCAGTACTTCAACAACACATATAAAAAATAATCACTGTGTGCTCTGAATGAATGTATTTCCTGCAGTTTTTTATGAAATAGATTCTGTATATGTGGGAATCTGTGGTATGATTTTGGCGCTACTGTATATGATTCCATGAAAATAAGTGACTTCATTAATCCTTCTGATTCTGGGTTAGCTCTCTGTAGAAGGCAGATAATATCAGCACCATTCTTGAAAAGTATAAAGATTCAGAGAAGTCACTAATTTAAAGAGACAGCATGGAGAACAGCTTACAGTAAAGATGTAGTACAGGTAAGATATTATCTTGAATCCTACTTGCTTTTCTTCTAAATAAGTAGTATTAGTCTCTTATATTTCCTGAAATTTGAAGGTTTTTAATTTCTAAAGTCATTCTCCAGTACATTTAATTTACATTTCTAAGCTAAGCTTGACGTTCTGTCTCTGTAAGCATCCACCCATCCCTGGTACCTTTAGCCTTCTTGTGACATGGCTTCTCATCAGGCTGCTCGTTCACAGGCGTCATCTTGCCATCAAAAGTCATTTCCAAACTCATGCCAGGAATGAGAAACTGAAGCAGTCAAGGAACTCAACCAACTGCCAGTGGTTGAGCTTCTGGTGCAGTTTAAATAGCTACTCTTATCTAGCAGAGGATGACTCAACCATCGCAGGAGGAAGGGGGAGACTTTGCTTCATATTGGAAAGTTGGCTAACACAAATTCTTAGGTTGTGTCTGTTGTGGGTGGGGAGAATGGTAATTCCAGTCCTGTGTTATGACCTTTCACTAAGAAAAAGGCAGCAGGGAAAAATGCACCGTCCATGACAATCATAGGAAAGACACTGCAGACTTATCAGATAAGGGCTTGGAACTCGAAGGAAGCGCATACCTCAAGCTAGGTTTGTAGAAAGGAATGTCACCTCATTGTCCACATTTATCTGTTTGCTGATTCACTGAAGCAGATTTTCACTAAATGGCATCTTTTTTTGTAAGTAGTACATTTTACTTTTCTTTGCTTTAATTGGCAATTAGAAATGTAACATAAATCATGTAAGATTCCCATTTCCAGCCCTGATACTCTGGGTACAGGACTCACTGGGGGCAGTCTTGCATATAGTGACTTTAAACATCATGAGCCCACTGGAACTAAATAGAGTAAGTTTTTGGATCTTGCCCTGGGTCTGCCATCTTGGGATGGCAGACATATCAAATCTATCACTTATATCAAATCTATATATTCATCTGTGATTTGAGGATAATGTATATTTGATAATGTTTCATTAGCCAGGTGTAGTGGCATAAGTCTTTAATTCCAGCTCTTAGGGTCCGGGGTACAGAGCCCAGTGGGTCTCCATGAATACAGGGCCAGCCTGGTCTATAATACTGAGTCCATACCAGCAAGGGTAGCATAGTGAGCCCTGTCTCAATTTAAAAAAAAAAAATGATAATATTTCAATAGGAACTTAAGTGATATTGTGAAAATGACAAGCTTTGTGGTTGGGGCATAAAACTCAGAAATAATAGTAAAAACTACTATTAATTGCTATCCCCAGGATAGTTAAGTTGACCAGAAAAGAATATGTTTTAGTTTGACCAATGTTTCCTGGGCTTTTTATACCTATCCATAGGTAGAATCTTCACCTAGTTTTCCATCATGAAAAGACACATATCTTTGAAATTATTTCTATTTCTTAACCTGTGTGTATGTGTGTGTGTGTGTTTGCTTGTATGCGTGCACAACACAGGTGCATACGGAGGTCAGAGGACAACCCAGGTGTTGATGGGCTCTGGTCTCCCACTGTTTAAGCAAAGATCTCTTTGTTGATGCATGCTCTAGGCTAGCTGATCTGCAAGATTCCAGGATCCTCTCATATCTCTGCCCTCCATCTCACAGTAAGAGCACTGAGCTTACAGACAGGTGTGTCTGTAATGGGCTTTCGATGAGTTCTGGGGATCCTAACTCAGGTCCAGCCCTTGCAGGTGCTTCTGTAAAAGGGACCCCTTATCTACCGAACGTGGTTTCTGGAGTTTGTGTGTACAAGATTCTACAGTAGCTGAATTTTGTTTTAAACCACTTAGAGAAAAGGCAGGGTGGGGAAAGGGATGGATAAAAAAATGGGTAAGGTATCTAGGAAGTTACATAGGAAAAATCAGCAATACTGACAGTGTATATAGGATTCCACATCCTTCCTCCATGCTAAGCTTTGTGTTTTCCATCTTCCTACGTAGGATATTCAGCACAAGCTGAGAACAGCTTATTTGCCATTTAAAGTTTTCTTTTTCACGCAGTTCGCAAAACAGCCCACAGAGCCAACACAACCTTATCAAAGATCTGCATTTAAAAAACAACAACAATGCCCCCCTAACCTACTCCTGACCCCTGTTTCCTAGCTGGGAGGTGGATGCCAGGAATCGAATACATTGCTCAATTTCCAAGGTGGCCTTTTCACTTTCATTTTCACTAAGATTCAGTAGAATCTCAGGAAATTTCTTATGATGATGAATTAATAAACACTGAAATGGCAGTACAATGAGAAGGACACTTTATTATTCTCACAGTGACTCAGTTATCTCAGACACCATTAATATAAAAAAATATAAACTATACAAGGGCTGCTATTTTAACTACTTTAGATGTACTGCTTAATGTGGTGTTAAGTACATTCACATTGTCCTAACAGTTTTCACCACAATCCACCTGCACAGTGTTTCCATCTTTTCTACCTGAAAACATTTTCACAGTTCCTGTGATGGTTCATTCTATTTTCTGCCTTGTCCAGACCACTTGGTACCTTGGCAAAATGTTTGAGGATGGAGAGCATATTGTACACCTATTTCCTCTGAACTGAAACATTTCTTTGTGGATGAGGGAAGGATGGGATGATTCTTTGGTCTGTTCTTGTTTCCCCTATCTGTGGTAAACAGATTTTGTTCACGTTTTGCCATGATAAATCACACAACAGATAAATAAATCAGTAGAGATGGCCTATTTATATACTGAGTGAGATTCATTCAAATCCGGAAAGCCAAAAGAACAGAAGCAACCATCCTCTTCCATGTAAGGAGGCATTTTCTAGCAGATGGCCTTTGGGCTTCAATTTCAGCACCTGCTCCCTCTGGTCTTCATACCAGCCTTTGGACTGGAATTAGACCCTCCCTTGACTCTTCCAGATCGTCAGTCTGCTGGGTAGCACTGAAGATTTAGACTAGGCAGCCCCTATAATCACATGATACAATCTCATCTAAGAAACCTCTGTCTTTCTATCTACACTCTACACATTCTATCAGTTCTGCTTCTTTGAGAAACTTCTGTCCTTATATCTACACAGTCCATCAGTTCTGCTTCTCTAAAACACTCTATTGACCACTCCCTGTTCCTCCTTGAAGTCAGTCCTGTATTTTCTGTCCCTTGAAGTTTGATACTGTACTTTGTGTCAGATTTCTAATTCCTTAACAAAATATCTGAAGTAATCAATACACAAGCAAGAAAGGTTTGTGTTGGCTCAAGGTTTCAGAGATTTGATTAATCGAGGGTCAATTATCGCCACTGGTTTTGGACCTGTGGAGAGACAGAACATCAGCATGAAAAGATGCTCAACTCATGGGTGTAGGGAAGGAGGCATCTCATTCAAGGACCTGTTTCTAAAACCTCTCATTGCTCCTGCAATCTCCTAGCAGTGGGCACAGCTGGCAACCAGCCCTTCAACACTCGAGCCTTTGGTGGACATTCAATCTCAATTACCTCATGTTAGTAGAAGAATCCACCAGTTTTCCTTCTATGTTTGACTTAGTTTATTGAGAATTGTGTCTTCAAGGTTCATCCATATTACAGCACAGCTTAGAATTCCCTTTCTTTATGTAGAATACCTTATTTTATTTATCTTTTTATCTGTTGATGTGAGTTTATCTTGTCATCCCCCCACCCACCCACACACACTCTCTCTTTTGCTCTTGATACAGGTTCTCACTGTGTAGTCCTGGCTTTAAACTTACGAGGTAGAACAGGCTGGGTTCAAACTCACAGAGATCCTCTTGTCTTTGCTTCCCAAGTGCTAGGATTAAAGGTGTCACCACACCACCACACTGGGCCTTTTCTCTTGTTCTTAAACATTCATAGAGAAAAGTTTCCAAGAAACTGTAAAGACTTGAAGGAATACAGGATGTCCCATGACCCCTGCCTCCTGGTGTCATGCATTCTTTGTGAGCATGTGTTCTCAGAGCTATAACTTAAAATGTAGCAAAGGTCAAAGAATGCAGGTGACCATACACAGGGAATTGCTTCAGGCACATGAGGAGTGTGCTGAAGCCTCTCTTCTCCTGTGTCTGTCTCTGTGCTCATCATTAAATTTAAAGAACCATCCCTTAGTTGCCTATAGTTCTTTGTCTATGAATGTGGTCCTGTGAGGCTTCCCACTTCCACATTAGCATGTTTATTAGTGTTCAGGTCTAGTTTAGACACTATATTTTTAAAGTACTATAAGTGATGCTAATGCTGAGAGAGGATGAGCCCCCTCATTGATTATCCAACACCAAGTGCTCAGTCCTGAAATCAATCAATCATGCACATACAAGTAATACTAGATGGAGTGATCAGGAAACGATGGAATTATATTTCTATTAAAGACTTTTAAAAAACATGATTATACTAATCCTATAGCCACTAAGAAACACATTCTGCCAAAAAGAGCTTGCAAGTGGCTCCTCTGCCATGACAGACTTCAGACAAAAAAAAAAAAAAATGCTACTAATCAGACACTTTGATCTCAGCCTTGGAAAATTCCAAGCAATGGACCCGTTAAACTTTATACACACTTCTGGCCCTACTGTGAATGCTATTGGTAGTGTGTGTGTGTGTGTATTCTGTTGCTCACACAATTTGTAGTAATGAGCTAGATGGCATATAAACCATACATCCTTTGATAAACTGAATCCTTCTGGCTTGTTTAACTTCCCTAAGTTGAGCGCAAAGCTCTGAGTTTGATCAGCAACACTGCCCAAAGGGGGAGTGGTGGCACATGCTTGTAATCCCAGCACAAAGGCAAAAGCAAGATCAGAAGTCAAGGTCACCCTTAGCTACATAAAAAGTTTGAGGTCAGACGTGAAGCTAACTCAAGGGTGGAAAAACCTCCTGTTGTGTCCTGTTACTAATTTTCAATGCCTCTGAGGTTGAAATTCAATACCTATGCTGTGATCTTGGCTCCTAAAACAGGGACAACTTCCTAGTGAAACACCCAGGCGTTTCAGAATGAATCTGACTTCTGCCACCTTCTCTATTCTTGAAATCATGGTTGTGGCCCAATCCACTGCTCAGCCATGTGTAGCTTGATGTTGTTGGCTCAGAGTACCAGTAGTCCTGGTCTCTATTTTATTGAGGGGTAGAAATGAAGGAGAGCATGGAGGGGATGCACCAGACAGCCAAGGTCAAAGGAGAGTAATCAAAGGAACCACAAGTTAGCAATTCTTTGGCTACACTTGTTAGAGTGGTTGTATAACAATTCCCTGAAGCACAGGTGAAGAGGTCTGTGTACATGTACCTCCTACTGGCCCAGGTCCCAGTCCTTCACAACATGAGTATAAGCTAATGATTCACAAACTTAATGGAATGAGGTTATGTAGGTTGGTAATGAGAATATTCCCATCTTCCCTAGCTCCATGCTTGCCCCCCATCCTTATGCCATGCAGACCTTCAGTTTTCTTCTCTGACTAATCTTTCCTTTATCATCATTTCCTACTTAAAGGCTGTGATTCTAATATGTTACAGGTCATTGACACACTGGAATAAATAAATAAAGTTCTATCTCCTTGGGGGATAAGAAAGAAATGATACCAGTAATTTTGAAAAAGAAAAAACAAGGCAGCCATTAACAGAAGCCTGTTTTGTTCAGGCCTGTTAAGAAGCTTGGGGGCAAGAAAGATGATTGCAATCATGTGGCCAGAAATTGCCATGGGGAGAAAGCCAAAGTAATTGGAAAACCTGTTCATGCAGGTGAAGGCTGGTACGGGTAGAAGTAATGGTGGGACTAGTCATGTGAACTGTTCAAGAAAAAAGAATGCTAGAAAGGTATAGTACAATCTAGAGAGGGCTGATAGAAAGATGGGATAGGCATAGTGAACATTAATGATCCACCATATAAGATCATATAATGATCACATATAAAATAGAGCTAAGTTAAAAGCATCTTAACTAACATCAAATGCTTGCTAACAGAACTGTAATATGCATCATAAGATTCAGTTTTCAGTTTATCAGTATGAGTATTTTGCCTTTGTGTATGTAACTCACTACATATCTGCCTGCTTCCCAAAGAGGACAGAAGGTGTCAGATCCCTCTGGAACTGGAGTTGCAGTTCATGAGTCACTATGTGGGTGCTAAGAACAAAACTGCTTTTTGTATCAAACCAAACTCAGTTGACAGAGAGATGGAAGGCCCTGTCCACAGCTAACAAGTGGTTAAACAAGGAAATGTCCCAACCCCCTGAACTATGCTTTTAGCCATGGTTGTTTACGCTTTTTCCCACAAGAAGAGGAAAAGGGAGGAGTTCATGGGGTTTTCCACTATGTGGTGTTTAAACCAAAATACTCTATGCAAGATGCTTCCTTGACCCTGATTTTTCCCTTTTCTATGAAACAAAAGCTAATGTAAGTCTAGTGGGCATCCATCCATTATGCTCCTACTCTGTGAGTGGGAAGAGTAAGACCTAGACTGTAACTAATGTTCCTCTCTAGTCCTACAAAATACCTCTGTCTTAATGAATTTTCAATTGATATCTGGAAAACACTTTTCACTCAAGAGCCTATGTCCTAAAAATAAATGGATAGACTTGGAAAGACTAAGATTGCACCAGTGAATTCTCTCACTGTTTACTTCCTTTAGCTGAGAAAAGGAAATTGTTTACATTCTACATTACCACATCACATTGTCACAGTGTGATCATATGGTTTGTGAGGCTTTGATATGATGGAGCCCACCCTGCAGTCTTCTCTCATTAATTAGAAAACATCTGAAATGTGATTTTGTTCAATCTTGTGAAATGGACATGTCACTGTAAACTTACACTGAATATTCTTACTTAGTACTTTGCACTGGGTAAAGGATTCCTGCATAAATGTCAGGCATTGGTCTGACTATTTCCACACAATATTTTTCTTTATAATCATTTTACATTCTTCCATTGTGGTGTGCTTATTTTTAAATGTGACTTTAAGTTTTATTACATTGCAGATAATATGTTTTTTGATATAGAGGTCTTGCTGTTTCCTAGAGTAGCCTCATGCTCCTGAACTAGACTCAAATGATCCCTTACCTCAGCCTCCTGAGTAGACAGAAACACAGTTGTACACACTGTGCCTGATTCTCACATGGCAACATCACAATAGTGCTTTGAGAGGAGCAGGTACCAAGAGAGACAGAGAAACAGTGGAGTTGTCTTGGAAACCAGTTTTTTAAATCAGGCCTGTGTGTCTAACTTGTTTCAATGGGATTGAAACTGAAGTAGAGTGGAGGCTGAGAAGATTGATAGCACCCAGAGAGTTTAGTTTTCAAACCCATTTCCTACTCTAAAGATGGGACCCGGCTTTCTGGCTCATTTGGAATCCTTCAGTCCTGCTGAGTGGTTGCAATAAATGACCCAGAACTAGCAGGGTTGATTATCAACATAGTGTGTGTGGGGGGGGGCGGGGGGGGGGTCAAGGAACAAGAAGGGGGATGCCAGTCACATGGAGAGAGGGTGGAGGGAGATTGGCAGAGTGACTTTCCGACTCCAGCAGTCATCCACAAGCCAAGAATGTAACCAGTTCCCTGATGAGCACAACAACACATCTGGTCACTCTCAATCTGCCTTTGAACTATTTCAAATCCAAGTCTCTCGTTATAGACTGGAAAAAAATCTAATTCAGAGGACAAATGTGTCTTTGAATGCCTTTCCATTGGGGGCAGAAGGAGAAAAATTAAATACACAGAAAGGTTTGATAACCAAAAGGAAGGGGAAAAGGAACAAATGTGGAGACCATGTGAAGAGAAATAGAGAAAGCGAAGGAAACTGAGAGGAAAGAGGAGAGATAAATCCTGAAACTTGAAGGCGAGGGGTGTAAAGGGAGAGAGATATTGATCTATTGCTGAGAAAAAATTTCTCTTTAGGAATTCTGGACCAGGAAGTTCCATGTGGCACTGAGCATGGATAGGATACAGCAGATGCACCCGGCGTGACCCTTCTGGACCAGGTGTTCGACCTAATGGCAGCCTGGGCCCGAGTGGTGATGGCTTCTGTCCTGGTTTATTTCATCCCGGTGAGTTCAGGTGTGAAAAGGTGAGGAGAACCTTTCTTTTGATCATTTCTTTGGCTATACTGACTCTGGGAGGAGACGGATGGGATAATAACAGATTTAGTACGGAGGAGACTCAAAGATGTGTGTGTGTGTGTGTGCGTGTGTGTGTGTGTGTGTGTGTGTGTGTGTGTGTGTGTGTGTGTGTGAACAATGCCCATGGAAAGAGATTAGGACAATCAGAGATGGCACATGCTGCTGCTACACCCGGCTTTAACAAGGTTCTGAGATCCTAACTCAAGCGCTTTGCCCACTGAGCCGTCCCGCCAGTTTCAGAGGACTCTTCAATGCCATTTTAATATTCTAAACACTTTATTTTATTCCATGGTGAAAGAAAAACCTCTGAGTCGTCCATTAGCTGAGAAAAGGATGGATAGACTGGGAGATTCTGGCCAAATCCCAGGGCCAAGTCCACACAGCTAGGAAGTCTAGCAGAGAAAGAAACGGTACAGAAACTAGCCTGGATCGCATTCCTACACGGGGAGCAGGCTGTCTGCTTGGCCTCCCACACAAGTGAACTGATGTACGAAAGTACATTTTTTCTTGTATGTTCTCTTGGCTTCCTCTTTTCCTTCTCTCCTTTTCCCTTCTTTCTTTGTAACATTTTGTCCCTCCATTGCTCTTCTTGGGTGGTGAGTTACTGATATATTGAAGACTGAATTCAGTTTTCAACTGGGCAGGGGCAAGGAAGATCATCGCAATGTCCCAGGGGATCGGTCAGGAGATTTCCAGGGTGACAAACTGATATAGAAGCATTCCCCAGGAGATGCTCAGCCGCTATCCAAACCACATTTAAGATCCCCGCCCTGCCTAGAGCTTGTGCTTCATGAGAAGTAATCATGGGCAAAGGAACGCTCAGTGTCACAGCCCAGTGCAGGCCAACCCTATGGCCATAGGTCTGACAGAGCACAGCCCTGGGGGATGATTCTCTGGCTGCTGAATGATGCAGATGTGACCATTTCTCTGTCTGACATTATTTCCTTCCCCCAGCTTCCTGGAGCCAGATGCGAGGAAAACTGTGTCAACGCTGAACAGTAAGTGTCTGAGAGTTCAAGCCGGGAGGAAGGACAGACAGACAAGGCACCCACACCCAAGCATAAGCTAAAACGCCAGTACATAGCTCTGACTTCCTTTTCTACTTAAGTGGGCATCGCCTACTCGCACCGACGTGTATGTCATCCGAAGTGCTCAGAATAACCTGGCCAATAGCACGTTTTTGTAAAGCCAGTCTTCCCATCAGTGCAGCACAATTCATTAAAACACACGTAGTCAAGGAGACCTGCAAACGGCTTCTTTGGCCGTGCTTTCCAGTGACTCATCAGGGCAGACTGGGTTCAACAGCCAGTCACCGGCTTATCTATTTGGGTGATTCCCATAGTAGTATACGCACTTCAAATCCTTAGTTTCAAGTGACTACAGACAATAACAATCCAGTTCACGCTAAAGGAAAACACATATTCCGCTGCAGAATCATTTCCCAGCAGCCAGTTCTGTCAGATGTGAGGGGAATTAAGCAATTAGGGATCACCATAATTACTTGGCATGTGTATATTTGATACTGGGAATGTGACATTGAGGATTTGGACAGCTGTCATTATTTGGAATCTAATGTAGAAGTGAAAGGCTTTGAGCAAATGATGAATGTGAGAAGCAAGATGATACCCTGTTTCAGGGAAAATGCAAACTGCATTTTCTATGCAAGTGTGACCAAAGTTAGAAGGCAAGAATAGATCTCAATATACATTTAGTAGAAAGTGGTATTTTAAATTATTATTTTAGTGACAAAACTGGCATATCTTTAGAGACACACACGTTCCTTCTCTCCACCTCTGACTCTTGGTTTTAGTCTCTCCCATTCTGTCCTCCTTGTCATCCCTCCAGAGAAAGTTTACAGCTGCCGAAGCTTGTTAGCTCTCCTTGCGTGAAGCCAGCTTCTCCCTTTCCTCCCTTCCTGTTTGGTCTCAGTGCATGCACCCATCAGTTCTGTAGGCCCTTCTTAGAGGGAGGATGTTGCAAGAACTTGTGAAATATAAATTACAAATGTGACTTCTTTCATGCATGTAACTGACATTTTCCTGATATGTACATTTTATTGGTCTCACATGCATATGAACTTAATGTACGTGTCTGTTTTCAAAGTCACTTCTAAAACGTTTGTATGCCAAATGCTTTCTTGACAATTTCCATCATAGTAGCTCACAATAGTCATGCAGACATTTTCTTTTCCTTTTGTTTTATATCAGTTTGGAAAGAATTAGGTTTCATCACAGCGTTTTTCAAACAGAATTTGTTGTAATTGTTCTCTTCTCCTCTTCTCCTTTCTCAGACGCCCCCATTCATTTAATTCTTTTCACAGCCACTCTTTTTTAATGCAATTTTTTAGTGCCTAATAAAATGATTTGCACAACAATGCCATCTTTTTTTTTTTAAATTAAACTCTACTCAACTAGCTACATTGGACTTTTAAAAATGTAGGTCTTAGCTGAGCATGGTGGCACACGCAGAGGCAGATGGATCTCTGTGAGTTCAAGGCCAGTCTGATCTACAAACTGAATTCCAGTTCCAGGTTAGCCAAGGTTACAAAGTGCAACTTTCCTAAAAAAAAAAAAAAATTAGGTCTTGATGTTTTGATGTTTTTAATTATAACATAGTATTAAGTGTAACACCATGATTTTTGCAGCTCACACTATTGATTTTTAATATAACAAACTTCTTTTTTTCTCCACAGTTGTCTGTCCACCGACTGGGTTCATCTCTGGTATATATGGTAAGTTGGAGTTATATAATACCCTCAAAGAGACTTCCTTTTGTGTATTTTTTTTTAAAGTTTTTCATATGCTAATAGTATGAATAAAAACATAGCTGTATTTCACAAGTTTCCTTAGTTCATCTCTAACCTATGTGACAATATACCATGGTTTCCTATTTCAATACAATCTCTTCAGCCAAAGTCAAGAAATTAGTGTCTTTCCCCCAGCATGTGCTTACGAAACACTTTTGTACAGTGAAGTGAGAAGCAGCCCCTTCAAATTGTCTTCAGTATTGTTTGTTCTCATGACCGGCATAGTCTTGCTGAAAAAATCAGTGACTCATATATGCAAAATGAAACCCTGGGGATTAAAATCTTATTAGTGTTCTATAAAAGATGAACAATGATCAAGATCAGACATTAAGGGGTAGTTATGTCAGATCTGGGAGGCAGCTGGCCACAGCTTGGACTTGACAGTGGGCTCTTGCAGGTTGCTGGTGGTGGTTGGCGCGTTGCTTCTCCTCTGTGGCCTGACTTCAGTATGCTTCCGCTGCTGTCTGAGCCGCCCAGAAAACGGGGAAGATGGGGCCCCATCACCCTATGAAGTGACCGTCATTGCTTTTGACCACGACAGCACTCTCCAGAGTACCATCACATGTGAGTGCACTCCACTTAGAACACCCACCGAGATAGAGGGCCCAGGTTTAAAGAAGTTCTGAAAGGTACGGAGGTGTAGGGAGAACTGCCGACTAGCACTGAGTGTTTGGGAGTTCAGAGTCATTTTAATTTCCAGAAACCCATTGTGTGGTGGCCTGGGCTATCACTGATGCCTGTATTCTCAAGTTTTTGGCTGATGATAAATTGATGAACAAAGTAAAATATTGGAGCCAAGGTTCACATGACTTCCTCCCTCCCTCCCTCCCTCCCTCCCTCCCTCCCTCCCTCCCACCTCCCTCCCTCCCTCCCTCCTCCCTCCCTTCCTTTCTTTATTCCCTCCCTCCCCTCCTCCCTCTCTTGCCCTCTCTTTCTTTCTTTCAAGTATGGTCTCCTGTATCCCAGTCTGGCTCTTGATCCTCCTGCTTCCCTCCCTCCCCTCAGGAGAGCTGGAATCAAAGTGTGTACTACCGCCTCGCTACATTCTCTTTCTTTGTTTTTCTTACACTTTTTGTGATGCTGGGTCTGGAACCCAGAATCGGACACAGGCTGGACAAGCATGTTACTGATGAGATCTCCTAGACCTTTACATTGTTTTTATTTCAAGAAATGGTTGTGCCGAGTTGACCACGATATATCCTTGAATTTACACTGTAGTGTAGGCAGGTCTTAAACCTATAATCCCCCTGCCTCAGTCTCTCAAATGGTTGGGATTACAGGCCTGTACTACCTGGTCTGGCTTACACTATATTTTTTTGTATGTTTAAAAAAAATGGCGGTTTACACTTTCAGTTTGGTATTCCTCAAGCCTTGCTATGCTAAATTTTAGCCCCAACACCTCTTTGATAATTATGATAGAACATTTTCCCTCCCCTATTCTGTTTTATTTGTTTTTTTGTTTGTGTCTTTATATTTTGAGTCAGAGTCATTCTACGTAGTCCTGGCTGTCCTGAAATGCCCTGTATAGACCAGGTTGGCTTTGAACTCAGAGAATCACCTATCTCTATCTCATGAGTGTTGAGATTAAAGGCATGTTTTACATGCCCAGCTCTTCCTCTGTTCTTTATGAAATTATTCTTCCCTAAATTGAGGAACAAAGTCAAGTTAGAACAACATAGGATAAGACACATATCATAAATAAGAGCAACATAATCTGTGACTAATAAATGACAAATACGGCAGAAATAAGTATTTGAAAGGGCTTTGTGCCCTGTGGTAGTAGCTCATGCCTTTAATCCCAGCACTCAGGAGGCAGAAACAGGTGTTTTTCCATGAGTTCTGGGCCAGCCTGGTCTACAGAACTAGTTCCAGGACAATCAGGGCTTCACAAAGAAATCCTGTCTCAAAAAAAAAAAAAAAAAAAAAAAAAAAGGCTGGGTTGTAATATTCAGAGGCTAGTACAAAGGGATCTAAATCTGAAGGTGGAGCTGGCGTGGAACTCAGGAGAATAGTGCTTGCCTAGCTTGTGTGAGGATATGGGCTTGATTTCTAGCACAGCAAAATAGGAATAACCTGGAAGGAGGATTGAACTGTGCAAATGCAACTCAGATTATTCAGACAGCGGGGAAAGCAGGTTCTTCTGGCAGGGTGCAAAGTTAGTTAAATATCTTTGAAGGGTTTTTTTAAACTTTGCCAAAAGTTATGACAATGTGTTTAGAAGTGGGTTAAAGACAAAGAAAAGTTGGATGTGATGTAAATCTCTAGTGTCTGAGGATATTACCTTGTAAGCCATCATCTCTACACCAACTGTCCTCTTCTCTCAGCCCTTCAGTCTGTGTTTGGCCCTGCAGCTCGGAGAATACTGGCCGTGACCCACGCACACAGCTCCCTGGGCCAGCTGCACTCCTCTCTGGACACACTTCCAGGCTATGAGGAAGCTCTTGGCATGAGCCGTTTCACGGTGGCAAGGTGTGGGCAGAAAGCGCCTGACTTACCCTCGGTACCAGAGGAAAAGCAGCTGCCTCCCACAAGGAAGGACTCTTCTCAGACAGAACTCCCATCACAATGATGGGAATGTTGATGGTATTCCTAATATCCAAGACATCCTTAGAGTTGGGAAAGATCCCCAGATATATAGAATGTTTTCTTTGGTACCACCCAGAAAGTTCAGGATACCACCTAGACATTGGTGTGTCAGCAAGATAGGTTCTCACTCTTCATTTACAACAATATATTTTTTCTAATACACAATTGGAATTCTAACTTCTTATCCAATGGTCAAAATTTACAACTCACCTCTAGCTATATTGATTACTACCAAAGCAGGGGAGCACTAAGGTGTCTTGAATTCCTTCAACTATGGCATGCATACAAAGTTCCTTTAACCCAGATGATACCGCAAATTGCTCTTCTCTCTGCTTGACTGTGGTAACCTTGAAGGGAAACACAATGCAAGCATAACCGTTGATGTTAGTGCACCAAACACATGCATCTTTTCTTCTAGGGAGCAACCAACATTATGCTGAACAATGATGGCCACTTACACATCATATAATACCAACCTGGACTTGTAGATTACAGGGCTGGGGGTACTGATAAGAGTGGAGAGACTATAATATAGTGTGTGCCACATGTCAAAACCTTTCTACCATTTTGGCCCTACATAAAGTGTGAAACATGGCATAGAGAACAGTAATGGTCCTAAAAACTCTTTAGAGCCTTGTCCTGCAAACACTAGTACACACACACACACACACACACACACACACAGAGGCTTGTACACATGATCTTTTTAGACTCTGAAAGAAAGCATTGCTTTGCTTCTTTCCTTCCTGTTTCAGGATGTAAAGCCTTCACCCTGTGAAGTCTAGAGAGACTCATACTGGGCTCTAGAGGTGGTCCTTACTGCCACCTAGTGGAGCTATGGTTGATAATGCATTCCCTTCCTTGAGCTCCTCTGCACCCACCTCTCCAATTCTCAAAGTACTAAATGCTACCTTAAGCCTGGAACCTGCTGAGTGAGTAGGGCCAAGCTATCTTGGTCACATACTACCTTCTAAAATATTGTCATTGCAATCAAAGAAGTGAGACGTACCCTGGGAAAACTACCGAGAAAAGTTACTGAAATCTTGGAAGGATTTTCTCCTCTGTAAATTAGACGTTATTGTGCACAACAAAGAACACAAACACCCAAGGCGTGATTTGTAAAGTGTGTGTTACTTATTATTTTTCCTGTTGTCACCCGCTCTTCAGTGCCCTGCAGTGACTCCACTGAGAATTATGTTCTGCTTTGTCCCTTCTTCCTATCTGCTGTTATTGTAAAGTCATACCTAAAGTGACTTTATTTCATCAATAAAAATGTCTTGATTGAGATAAACAGCCAAAAAATTTAAGTGATCCTTCTGAACATGCTCTGCAGAGGGGTATTTGAGAAAACGGCTTGTTTTGTAGGTGACTATCTGGGGTACTCTGGGGAGAAGTTCAGACCTAGGGAAGCACTGATTAGTGCTGCACCTCATTAGATATATTCTGGCAATGTTCACTGAAGCCCAGAGGGAAAAGCATCGTATGTGAGTATAACCTGCTAGTGATCCTAGTGATCAGAACTCCTGCATCACTGAGCAGAGTAGAGTGCCTCATGAAGCTGTTGACATTCGTCACTTGTTAGTAGCACCTAAGGTGGCCTTATTTTACCACCGCCACCAAGTAAGCCATCCAGTCACCGTGCATTCCACAAGATATTTTTCACTTTCTTCCCCTTCTTTTTCATCTTTTCTTTTGAGATGGTACTTTGCTGTACGGACCAGGGTAGTCTCCCAGTTCCTGTGCAGGCCAACTTCCTGCCTAACGCTGTCCCTTAAGAGCCAGGATTAAGTCCCGGGTTTGCCATGTGGCTCGTGGCTTACCAGCATCTTCACATGCTGCTTGTCATGGTGCATCTGGCAGTGTCTCTCTCTCAGCCTTCCACTTCCCAAGGTATAGATTTATAGAAATGGATTAATTTAAGCTGTAAGGAAAGTTAGCAAGAAGCCTGCCACGGCCACACAGTTTGTAACCAATATAAGTCTCTGTGTTTACTTGTTTGGGTCTGAACAGCTGTGGGACTGGCAGGTGAGAGAGATTTGTCCTGACTGTGGGCCAGGCAGGAAAACTCTAGCTACAAATGGCGTCCAACGTGGGGCAAGAGTTTCCACCTAAAACCTGAGAAAAGATTCTAAAATGGAGCTAAAAACAGCTTCCTAATTGTCTCTCTCAAATGAGCGGCAGCTGCCAGTTTGAGCTACTGGTGGGTTCCTAGTGTGCACGCTCGACCTGCTGTATGGCGAGAATGTGCCACTCTGCAAGTGGCACATTAAGCTGCATGGTAGATTTAGCCTTTGCTAGTACAAAAAAAAAAAGAAGTTTTTGGGCTACATGCTTCTTAGATAAAAGCATAGACCCACGATAGCTCCCAGAGCTGGTGGAAAACATACCACCACCATGTTGGGAAGCTGAGGTGCAGTTTAAAGCAATAGATTCACAATAAGACAGATTCAGATATAATAGTTTAAAATGTGTGTAAAATATACGTAGGCTTGAAAGAGACAAAAAAGGTGATAATACAGTTATAGAAACAAATACATAGTTTTAAAAAATAAAATCTTTAAAGAGACAGTAAAATTAATATAAAAAATAAGCCACTTAAAGATGAATATTACACAGAGAATCTGGATTGTGTTGTCTTTGGGATTTTTAACTGCAGAAAAACATTTGATCATAAAAGATGCTGAGTTAAACCAATATGTATATTTTAAAGATACCTTGACTTCAAAATTTGGATGTAAGGATGTGTTGCTTTGGAAAGGAGACTCTGCTTTTGTTCCCACAGAAAGCCAGAGGCTATGGATTTGTTCCAGATTACGATACATCATGTTTGACCAGCCAAGACCCCCTGAAAGGTCTCCGATAACACCATGGCCCAGATGATCCAACATCCAGAATGGTTTGAAGCCATCTGGCTCAGACAATACAGCCTCATGGACTATTCCATAATCCTAAAATTTTCTTTGTGTCCCCATAAGATACAGCACCCCACTCCAGCAGGAAGTAGTAAGAGAAGCTACGCCCAAATTCCAAATTATATATAATTTTTCTTTGTTAAGGTTAAAACCTTCCTTTTTGAAAAAAAAAGGTGGGGGAGTGCTGTGGGATGTTCTGTATGGCAAATGTGTTGCTCTGATTGGTCAATAAATAAAACACTGATTGGCCAGTGGCCAGGCAGGAAGTATAGGTGGGACCAACAGAGAGGAGAAAAGAAAGAACAGGAAGGTGGAGGGAGACACTGCCAGCCGCCATGATGACAAACAGCATGTGAAGATGCCGGTAAGCCATGAGCCATGTGGCAAGGTATAGATTTATAGAAATGGATTAATTTAAGCTGTAAGAAAAGTTAGCAAGAAGCTTGCCACGGCCATAAGTTTGTAATCAATATAAGTCTCCGTGTTTACTTGTTTGGGTCTGAGCAGCTGTGGGACTGGCAAGTGAGAGAGATTTGTCCTGACTGTGGGCCAGGCAGGAAAACTCTAGCTACAGGTGTGTGTAAAATGACAGCAATTATCTCTTTTTTAATCATATTCTTAGCTGTGTCCAAGTTGTAATCAGTCAGGAAACAAAGATGCTGATTGTTCTCAGTGTCTCCCCGTCTCCTTTGAATCAGTGGAGATTCACTGGCTTCTCTTTCTCAACCCACATAAAAGTATTACAGATTTACTCTGCATCCTCTACTGCTTACTCTGGAGTTTCTTGGGGGTGACTATAATGTTTTTTCTTCACTTCACGTTGATCCAAACTACAGATCGTGCAAACAGTCAAAACTGAGTCTAGTGTGATGCTTGTATGCGAAAGACTGTCCCTATCTATACAGTAGGACAAAGAGACCCTGACAGTCCAAGGCTCCTCTTGTTACAGGAGTCATCAGTAGGTAAGAACCCAGGCCCTGAAGGCTATAACAGTCTAGGTTTTGCATCTGACCTTCATAGGTCAATTCCCACCCCAAGTCCACCTTCCAGGCCCTAAAATGAGATTTAGGCTTAAACAGAGGGCCAGAGGTGTTCAATCTGGGCCCTAAGCAATCAGAGCCTACCCATAATCACCGATTCCTGTCTTTCCTATATGGCAGTCTGGCACATTTTTGGTACTGGAGACCAATTCTTCTTCTGGTTGGAGCTAGGATACCTTTGCCTTTTCCTCTCCCATAATGAGGTTTCAGGGAAATTTCTCATTTCTTGGGGTACATGGTCAATAGCTTGTCTGTCAAAGGGGGGCACACAGTGCCTGTTTAGAATAGCTTAATTCCTTCGAGGAGGTTTAAATGTGTGGGGAGTCCTGAAACAGGCATCTACTCATTCACATGAGGACGACACAGACTCTGCTTTGTGAGGAGTGAGAGTATGAGAGGAGTGAACTGGGCCAGAGTGAGTAACTCTCTATGGAGGGCAGGCAAGCAGAAGCACAAGTTACTCTCCTGTGGCCTGCCTCTAGTTCAGGCCTGTACTATAGATTCTTAACTAAGTTGGCCATATGCATGTGGCTCTACCGTCCTTATTAGAGGGTTTTAGATTAGAGTTTAGAAAGAAAATAAACAATGCATTGTTTAGCAAGTCTGGAGATCATGAATTTTTCTTTACCATTCTTTGGTTAAAATACAATCAGCTAGATGGTAATAAAGAAGCCAGAATGGAAAATGTGTCCTTGAGCAAGCAGAGTGGGAAAATAGTTGCATTGAATTATGGGTTGTTCCAGAAGTATCAAGTGTTAACTCTGGAAAATATTTGACTTGCCCTGTCTGAGTAATGTTGGCCGTCATCCTTCCATTGGCACACACACCTTAGACAACCCCAAATTGCACCATTTTCCACCCCAGAACTCCTCACAAACTTAATGTTTGAAAAGGGTACCAGGAAATGAGTATCTGAATTTCAAGATGAGAAGTAATAAAATTTTAAATACCAAATGAGCAATAGAAGGACAGTTTCTGTGACAAGTAAAGACTAAGAGAAAATTAATAACAATAATAAGTAGAAAACAGAAGAAAGAAAATTTGAATTGTAGAAAATAGTAAAAATTCTGAGAATGGCAAAGTAGAATGAGTCCTGGAAGAGAAGTTGGAATTGTTTTAAGATAGTAAAACTGACCATGAGTTCTTTGGACTTTGTCCTGTCTTGGACAACAGCCTTTGTAAGTATTTGAAGAAGGGGAAGGGATAATATTACTCTTTTGGTTATGTTCCTCTGATGAAAAGGTGAACACAAGAAAGGAAATTCAGAAGGGGTGTGGCCATTGGCTGCTGGACCACCCCAAGGTACCACTGCTTTAGTTTAGATGATGAAAGCTTAAAGTTCTGAGATTAGGCAGACCAAATTAAAGGCCTTTCTTTACATCAGATTCTAGGTGTTCACCTTTGAATGTGAATGATGTCCCTGTTCCTGCTTAGTGGCTCTAGTGCTCCAAGAATCTAGACTTCTCAGGATTTCCACTTTATATACAATGTTTCTCTACCAGGGTCTTCCTTATAGTTGAATACTGGTCCCTCTCCTCTATGATA